AGAAGAAGAAGAAGAAGAAGAAGAAGAAGAAGAAGAAGAAGAAGCAGAGAAAAGAAGAAGAAGAAGAAGAAGAAGAAGAAAAAGAAGCAGAGAAAAGAAGAAGAAGAAGAAGAAGAAGAAGAAGAAGAAGAAGAAGAAGAAGAAGAAGAAGAAGAAAGAAGAAGAAGCAGAAGAAGAAGAAGCAGAAGAAGAAGCAGAAGAAGAAGAAGAAGCAGAAGAAGAAGAAGAAGAAGCAGAAGAAGAAGAAGAAGAGAAGAAGAAGCAGAAGAAGAAGAAGCAGAAGAAGAAGAAGAAGAAGAAGAAGAAGAAGAAGAAGAAGAAGAAGAAGAGAAGAAGAAGAAGAAGAAGAAGAAGAAGAAGAAGAAGAAGAAGAAGAAGAAGAAGAAGAGAGAAGCAGAAGAAGAAGAAGAAGAAGAAGAAGAAGAAGAAGAAGAAGAAGAAGAAGAGAAGAAGCAGAAGAAGAAGAAGAAGAAAGAAGAAGAAGAAGAAGAAGAAGAAGAAGAAGAAGAAGCAGAAGAGAAGAAGAAGAAGAAGAAGAAGAAGAAGAAGAAGAAGAAGAAGAAGAGAAGAAGAAGAAGAAGCAGAAGAGAAGAAGAAGCAGAAGAAGAAGAAGCAGAAGAAGAAGAAGAAGCAGCAGAAGAAGAAGAAGAAGAAGAAGAAGAAGAAGAAGAAGAAGAAGAAGAAGAAGAGAAGAAGAAGCAGAAGAAGAAGAAGCAGAAGAAGAAGAAGCAGAAGAAGAAGCAGCAAGAAGAAAGAAGAAGAGAAGAAAGAAGAAGAAGAGAAGAAGAAAGCAGAAGAAGAAGCAGCCAGAAGAAGAAGAAGCAGAAGAAGAAGAAGCAGAGAAGAAGAAGCAAGAAGAAGAAGAAGCAGCAGAAGAAGAAGAAGAAGAAGCAGCAGAAGAAGAAGAAGAAGAAGCAGAAGAAGAAGAAGAGCAGAAGAAGAAGCAGCAGAGCAGAAAGAAGGAAGCAGAAGAAGAAGAAAGAAGAAGCCTGAAAGATCTTGCAGAGGCAGAAGAAGCACAAGAAAGTTCTCCGTCACCTTTGCTGTTTGCACATAGCTCATCCATGTTCTCCCAGTATTTTTTTTTTTTTCAACTTTACTCTTTAGCTCCCTTCTGCTTTGAGTTTTTGTTCTGCCTTTATTTCTCTGCCACTGTAGAGACATTCTTTGTGGGCATACTGCAGTTACATAAATAAAATGAAGCCAATGTATAAATCCTTTCAGTAAACTTCTAACTGCTATAAATGCCTGTCTTAAATACTTTTGCGGTGGAGGCAGGGAGAGAGTGTCTTTGAGCCTGATGAGTTAGGGCCACATGGCTAGTCTGATAGTCTGGTAGTCTTAGTTTCAGCTTCATAGCAAACGGGTCACCCCATCTTTGCTCCGCTCCTGTGCCAATGAAAAACACACAGAATGTTTATCACAGTCCCTTGTGGAAAGATTGACAGACTGCTGTCTCAGCATATCTAGCATACACTCGCATTAAAGTATTAAAGTATTTAGTAGCCATCCGAAGTGCTAACACAAACAGTCCGACATTAGAAATGCAGTTCATTATTGATGGTAGCAGAAGTCACTAACAGATCAGCAGTTGCCCACGCGATCAATTTTAATCACATACGTGCACCACCAGCATTGCAACGATAGGCAACACGCCATTTTCTGAATCTACAATTCACACCACCACGTTGGTCACAGTTGAAAAAACATTCCAGATGAAATCAGCAGCTCACAGTGTCACGCCATGCATTCAGCTCAGAAGCTGGGCAACTAAACTATATCCAATCTACAAATAGAGCAAAAATGCATCGGCCACCGTCCGGCTAAAGCAAAAAAATGGCCTCGGCTCCAAACAGTGGCCCTGCCTAGCGTCCATTTTGACTGGAAGAGCTAGTGCCCTCACCATGGACTGCAGGTTAGGGTTTTCTGCACACACACACACACACACAAATCCTCAACTTGGATGGTCAGAGTATCCCTCTTTGTTTTCTACCCTTTCCCCTGTCTGGTTTGGGAGGCTCTGCTGCAAGCTAGGCTACTGCCAGCATAGACCTCACGGATCAGGGAAGATATTTGAGACCCAGTAATTATTAGTTAAAAAATTCTTTCAATACTGTGGACTAAGAAAACAACATTGACATCTTGCGTGACCTGAACATCAAGGAAAACTGGCTCATAAACAGCATCCTTTCCTGAAAGCTGAGGTCTTTTAAACATGGCCGTGGCGGTCTGGGGAGAACATTGATGGAGGGTACAGTTTTCTGAAAACAAGGCAGAGGCCGACCACCTTGAAGGTTGATACAGGACATTGAAGATGTATTGGCTAGGAAAGCACACAAGGCTGGAGATTTGGCTAGAGAGACAGAGACTTTCAAGTGTGCTGTCCCCCGTGTGGGTTCCGGGGCCCCATTGTGGGGAAAACAAGAATAGACCCACTGCCTCCCCAAAAGCATGTGGTAAGAGTCGACTAATTGGAGAGCTTCCTTTGAAGTCGGAGTACATCTGCCGGAGAGGCAAGGAACCAACAGTGTGTATTCAAGAGAATGAGATCTGTAAAACTGATGCACACGCAACACTCAGGTTCTGGAGCAGGACTGCACTTCAGTAGTGGACAAGCAACCAGAACCTTCCGCCAGAGTTTACAGCTGGTGAACGCGAAGAAGAAGAAGAAGAAGTGTGCTGTGAAGAGAGCAAAGGACATACTCATTGTTTGATGTCCCATGAGGTTCCGGGTCCCCATTGTGGGGAAAACCAAGAATAACCCCACTGCCTTCCCAACAAGCATGTCATAACAGTCGACTAATAGGGGGCTTCCTTCAAAGTCGGAGTGCATCAGCTTGAGAGGCAAGGAACCTACCAACTGCACACAAATAAGCCAGTAAAGGTAATGTATGCACAAAACTCAGACCCTGGCACAAAGATAAAATCTAAATGGACAAACAACTAGGACCTTCAGCTGGAGCTTACAGCCGGTGAACAAAGAAGAAGATTGATTGATTATTAGTTTGATCTTTTAACTGCTTCAGCTAGAATGTGCTAAAGTACTAAAAGAATTGAAAAAATCAAATACAATCTGTAATCCTCCAAACAGTTGTATCATGTTTGAGGTTTGAACAGCAGATCAACATCAGGGCACACAGGTAGTCCCATCAGTTCTCTGTTCTTCTTCTAACTCAAGTCTGAGTCTGAAGAAGCTCAGTATAGTGCACAGGTTCTGTAGCACCGGCGAGGATTCTGAATTAATTTGGGTACATTTTTAGCTCCAAATTTTGCCCAGACAGCGCCTTTAGGCTACTCTTTTTCGATTTTCCAACCGCCAAGGGATATTTTAGGTGCGCAGTAATGCACACGGGCGTCCGATCTCACTACCCAGACACCAGGGAAAATTACTAGAAGTCCAAGTCCACATGAACAAAATCCTAGGGATTGAACCCGGAACCTCTAGCACTAGAGGCAGACACCATGCCTCAGGACCACCCAGCCCTCTCAACAGTTGTATTATTTGCCTAGCTAACTTGTTTATAGCATACCAAAGTTTGTCTTGTATATTCTGCCAGGAGCCTCACTGTCCCAAGACCGGGGGAGACTGGAAGCCAAGATCGAGGCCCTAAACACTGAGATCATAATGCTGAAGAAGCAGCTGGAGGTGAGTTATTTAGTCAGCTGTTAGTGGCAGTTTCAACTTTGTGGCAGTGAGTCACCTCATGATTACTCTGTTCCTGTGTCAGGGACAATTCTCATCCAGGTGATGTTATTATCTATACAGATGGCTCTGTGTTGAGAGGTAGAGGAAGTACATGAGGGTTCATAGCAAAAGCAAATGGATGTCGCTTGGTCCAGCTAAGCCTGGCATACGTCTAGATTGAGAGTGGAGGCAGTCCACTAAATAATAATAATAAACAAATTTATATAATAATAAAATATATATAATAAACAAATTTGTATGTTGTCTAATATGTCCTTCTATCTTTCTACCTCTTTCTGTGAGAGCTCATCAATACATTTTCTGTTTGTTCGTTATATATATATAATATTTCTGCGGCCTAAAGGGTTCCCACCCTTTGTTTATTTATGTGAGGGACGTGTAACACAATGGAACCTACCAATCAGATCTCTTTATTAATATTGTTTGTGTATTCTAGACACAGCATTATGGTATTCTGTGTTTGTAAATTGTTATTGTGTTTGTTATTCGACCTATGTTTGGCTAATAAAAATGTGTGTAACCTGTGGTGCCATTTCATTGGTTTGAGATTAATTCTGTCCACATTCCATATTTGTGGATTTCAAGCTGTATGATAGACAGGGCCAATAAGACACCTTTATTAGGATGCCTAGCTGGTCGTGTTCTTAGTAATCTTGTTTCCATAGCAAGGTGCAAACGTTATTCAGAGGTAATCGGTTCAATTTCCGGCACGGAAACTATAGCTATCTATTGTTATGCTGTCTAGTATGTCCTTCTATCTTTCCACTTCTTTCTACGAGTGCTGATCACTACTTTGTCTGATTGTTTATTATATATAATGTTTTTACGGCCCCAAGGGTTCTCCCCTCTGATAATTTATAAAAATTTACCTTGCTGCAGATTCGAAGACAAAAAGAGTGCTTCAGAGCTACATAGAACAAATCTGAACGTATGGAAGTGAATTACGGTCAATCAGCGGATTGGTTAAAAATTTTGCAGAAGCTGTGGATATGCGGTTTGTAGAATAATGATAAGAACACTCTGGTCAGAAATTAACACACCAAGAGAACTGATTACCTGCATCAGAAATAGATAATCCATGTTTATGGGTTGGTCACGGAAAGGGGAAAAAACTGGTATATATCTTAGCAATAAAAAAGAAAGTTGGCTTGGAAAAGAGTCAGTCAAATTGTTTCATGTGTCTTACAAAATATCTAAATTAGATTTTTTTAATTTTTTTTGTTTTACCAAGTATCTAAATCAGATTATTTAATTTGTTTGCATTAAAAATGTAAATCAAATTATTTTGTTTCAGCGGGAAACTGATGCAGTTAAGATTAAAACTAAAATTGTGGATGACCAAACAGAAACCATTCGCAGATTGAAGGAGGTAAGATGTAACTATAATATTTGTACACGTGTGTGAGTTTTAATTACATGTTTTGGCACAGAATGTATTTGAAGTTGAGTTGAAATAAGTTAAGAACCTATATCACAGCACTTGGGAGATCCCCATAAGTGTTTTGTCCACATCTTCAGCAGCCAGCACCAAGTTCCAATTCCGATGTCTTTTCTCTGAGTGTTCAGTAGCAGTCTGGTCCCTTGCCCTGAGTGTTTTTTTTTCTTTTTTCTTTTTTTTTATTCCTGAGTATAAAATGTATTTGCAAATTAAAAAATGTCCTAGATGACTCTGAAACTTGGAGTAAACAAGAAAAAATGAAGTCTTATTACAAACTTTTGAGAACAGAGCGTTACGGCTCATTTTTTGATCAAACAGAGATTGAAATTAAGGGATTGTTGAGAATATGAAGCAACAGTGAAATTCATCAACACTCAAGTTCTTCATCAACACTCAAATTCTTCATCAACACTCAAATTGATAATCTTTTTAAATCATAATTAACTACTCTCATCATGGGGGAGATATCATATAGAGAGAAGGCCAAGTAACAAGAGTAACTTTCTTCTTCTTCTTCGCGTTCACCAGCTGTAAACTCTGGGGGAAAGTTCTGGTTGTTGGTCCACTTCTGGACTGCAGTCCTGTTCTAGAACCTGAGTGTTGTATGTGCATCCGTTTTACACATCTGACTCATTTGTATGCAGACTGTTGGTTCCTTACCTCTCAGGCAGATGCACTCCGACTTCAAAGAAAGCTCCCAATTAGTCGACTCTTACGACATGCTTTCAGGTAGACAGTGGGTCTGTTCTTGTTTTCCTTATAATAGGGCCCTGGACCCACACAGGGGACTGAGTAACCAAATCTCCTGCACAAAAGTGATGGCTTGGAGTAGAGCATGAGGTAGACCAAGAAGATAATGGATAGATAATACACATGCAGACCATCAAACACTTGGAGTCACCAACTGGAAAGAGAAGGCGAATCACAGCGATGAATGGAAGTGGGGGATATCTACAGCAAAGAATGGCAAAAACTAGAAATGCCAAAGAAGAAGAAGAAGAAGACATTAAAAATATATTTGCAGATTGAAAAATATATATTTCTTTCTTGATCCTTTCATGTTATTGTTGACATAAAAAGCCTTTACAAGTAATCTCTCTGCATAATTACCCCTGGTAGCCCACATCACACATGTATTATTAAATCAATTATCATTTTGAAGATGAATATTTTCTAATAGCCCATTTATTTATCTTCAAAATAATAATTCATTCAATAAAACATTTTTGCAAATAAATTAAGCTGTAGTTCAATTTGTGTATAAATCTACTCGATAACAACTGTTACCACCAACCGGCCACGCCAGCCTCACAAAAATGGGAATTCCCGTTTGAGCTGTATGGCCTTATAAGTGGAGCTGGCTGTGGCTAAACCTTTCGGAGGGCACAAATGCCCCCCATAGCTCCGAGAATCATTCTTCTTCTTCTGTCCTTTGTCACCCCAATGGAGCATAGGTTCTCAACCAACTCACGCCAAGTCATCCTAATGTTGGTAGAGCATGCAGCTCACTCCCTGTTTTCTGTTTTTACTTTGCTCCCTAGTTTCCTTCTCCATGTGTTTTATTGGTGTACCTTTTTTTCTGTGCCCTTGTGGGTTCCGGTTTGAAGCTCTTCTAGTTATACTGTTCTCAGGTTTTCTCAGTGTATATCCTATCCAATGCCAGCATCTTTTTCTCACCTCTTAATTCACTCCAAAGCACATATTAATGATTCTGCCAGGCACCACTTAATGAATGTTTGTAGTTTATTAATACCTCTTCAGTTATTTTCTGTGTTTCCACTTTTCCCTTCATACAGCAGCATTTTTTTTTTTTACATTAGAGTTTTTGAGGTTTTGAACAGCGGATCAACATCATGACACATAGGTAGTAACCCATAAATGCTCCATTCTTCTTCTAACTTAGATCTGAGTCCGAAGAAGCTCAGCACAGTGCACAGGTTCTAAAATACTTTGGGTAGATTTTTAACTCCAAATTTTGCCCAGACAGCGCCGTTAGGCTCCTCTTTTCGATTACCAAATGCCAAGGTATTTTGTTACGTGAGCAGCAATGCACACAGGCGTCCGATTTCAATACCCAGTGACCAAGGGGAATTACTAGAAGTCCAAGTCCATGTGAAAAAATCCCAGCCCTTACCGGGGATTGAACCCGGAACCTCAAGCACTCGAGGCAGACACTGTTACTTGAGACAACACAGCCCCCTTGACATTAGAATTTAAAATTGTAAGTGAGAATCAATAGAGCAGACAAGAAATCCCACCATAACTAGAAGCCAGCACCACTGGATAGAAATTATATATTTGAGAACCTTTAAATATATTTCCAAAGTGTAACATTTATATTTGTAAACTTTAAAATGTGTTTTTAGATTGTGAACTATATTGCAACACAAAAACTAGTTCTTTCTTTAGTAATAGTTGTCCCCCTTATGGGATGCAATTTTTTTCATTATTTGAAGCCCCCACCCTGGCTTTTGCTGGGGGCCCTGAATATAGCCAGGCTATAAATATGGCTTAACGGCTGAAAGGGGTTTGTGGGACCTCTCCACAGGTGATCCTTATCCGCATGGTGGCACTTTGTGTCATCGGGTGTTTATCAAATGTGTGATGTCCTGGTGGGGTACAGCAAGAGAGAGAGAGAGAGAGAGAGTTCTTCTTTTGTCCTACTGCGTGTGCTGTAAAGTATCGCAGAGAGGAATTAGATCTAGTTTATCTCCTGTCTATTGCTAATTGTCTAGTTTGTGTTGATATCACATTGCATTTCTGTAGTGTCTCTTTTACTCCCTCCACCCTTATTTTTCTTGGTCAGCCTCTTGCCTTTTAACCTGCTGTTCTTACGTAGTACACTCTAGCTGCTGGGTTATTTTGTCAACACAGTGTTTTTTAAAAAAAAGTAAAGATCCCTTTTCACACCTTAGAACAAAGTGAGTACTATCTTAAACTGACTAAATGTTGAGTTGATTCAAGAACCGATATTACAGCACTCGAGGCATTCCCACAAGCGCTCCGTCCCCATCTTCAGCAGCCAGTGAAGAGTTCCAATACTTGTGGTGCCAGTAGCATTCTGATTAAGGGTCCGTCTCGCCTTTCCTCTGAGCCTCGAGTATCTGCCAGAACCTCTCGTCACCCCCAACTGCATCAATCTCACCAGACTGTAGTGATCCATCGGCTCTTCCGAACTGTACACGCTCTCCCACAAGGCACTAACCACATCTGCCTTATCATGCATCAGTATTCCACCAAGTTGTGCAGAGCCAGCCAGTATGTCCGTCTGTTCATTTCCCAACACACCGGCGTTCCCTGGCGAAAAAATCCAGACAATGCTCCCCACCCGTGTCCTCCCCAGCGAGGCATGCCACTCTGCACGAAGCATGCCTGGCCTGATCTACCTCAGCATGCTTTCTGAATCAGTTACATTCACGATGTGTGTGTGTCATGTTCTCTAGCCAGCGGAAAGCTGCAGTGACTGCCTCCACCTACATTCTTAAGCTGGATGTTGTGGTATCATATGCTAGGCTCTCCTGCACCAAACGTCGACCATAACTTTTGCTAAGAAACCCCAAGCACTTCTTTTGCCTCTTGACACTGAAATGTCTGTGTAAATGATTAAATCCTCTGAGCGAGCATTATCTTAAATCAAGTGCTGAATTTCCACCTCTGTGGTACGTGCTGGCCAGTCTCTGCATTTCCAGATCAGTGTGATTATGACCCTACACAAGTCTGACTGTTCAGGTGGCACTTTGACCCACTCCTCTCCTCGCCTAATGTTCTCAAGGATGCAAACCTGTCTCATTGTGTCTTCTGCCTGAGCCATCCATGACTTCTATCTTGTTAGTCTCTGACCCCTAACTGCACCCAGAGCTTCATGCAAAGGGCAGTTTGTGTCTGCAGCTGCCCTGCAATATGACTTTGCCTGCAGCACCCTGTGCCTTCCTGCAATAATTGGCAAACCAAGGATGTATCACATACACACCACTGGGGTGTCTCTGGTGCAACCTAGAATGTTTTAAATCACCAAACTGTGATATTTACTTTTGCATGGTTACTTTCTAGGCTGTTATTGAACGAGAGGAAACTATTAAAGCCACTAGGGAAGAGAACCTGACAGTGCAGAGACACCTGGAGGAGCAGCTGGCAGAAGTGAAGGCGGCCTTGGATGATACCAGGGTAAGCACTTGTCTTTTTCAGTTTAAAGTAGTTCTTTAGGCAACACGGTCTATCCTAATGTTTTTGTACCTTAAGGCAACACAGTCTATCCCAATGTTTTTGTACCTTAAGGCAACACTGTCTATCCCAATGTTTTTGTACCTAAAGGCAACACTGTCTATCCTAATGTTTTTGTAACCCAAGGCAACACAGTCTTTCCCATTGTTTTTATACCTTAAGGCAACACTGTCTATCCCATAGTTTTTGTAACCCAAGGCAACACTGTCTATCCCAATGTTTTTATACCTTAAGGCAACACTGTCTATCCCAATGTTTTTGTACCTCAAGGCAACACTGTCTTTCCCAATGTTTTTGTACCTCAAGGGAACATTGTCTATCCCAATGTTTTTGTACCTTAAGGCAACACTGTCTATCCCAATGTTTTTGTACCTTAAGGCAACACTGTCTATCCCATTGTTTTTGTAACCCAAGGCAACACTGTATATCCCAATGTTTTTTGTACCTCAAGGCAACACTGTCTATTCAAGTGTTTTTGTACTTTAAGGCAACACTGTCTATGCCAATGTTTTTGTACCTCAAGGCAACACTGTCTATCCCAGTGTTTTTGTACCTCAAGGCTACACTAAAAGAGCACTGTTGAACACAATATTCTTACCAATGCTTTGTTATCAGTGTCTAACATAGGACACTGTTTTAAAATGACAGAAAGGAAAATAGTCACGACAGAAATGAAATGTTTACATACTATGCTAGGTATAACGAGGAAAGATCAACTTGTGAATGATGATATCAGGACGAGAGTCAGCACAGAACCAGTACTGAACTTTATAGGTAGACAACAACAGATCAGATGGTTTGGCCATGTAACAAGATTGGCATCAGACAGGGCACCACAAAGAGCAGTGTTATACAGATACAGCAGAGGTTGATCATGCAGAAGATGGACTGCAGAAATATCAGAGACACTGAAAAATACTTTATACAAAGCGAACATAAGAGCTTATTCACCATATAAAAATCCCAATTTGATACTCAAAGGATAAAAATAAACTAGTATGACACTTAATGATTAACAAAACCTAATATGATCCTCAACATATAACAAAACCCAATATGATCCTCAACATATAACAAAACCCAATTTGATACTCAACATATAACAAAACCTAATATGATACTCAAAATATCACAAACCCCAATATGATACTCAACATATAACAAAACCTAATATGATACTCAAAATATCACAAAACCCAATATGATACTCAACATATAACAAAACCCAATTTGATCCTCAACATATAACAAAACCCAATATGATACTCAAATATACACAAACCTTATATGATACTCAAAATATAACAAAACCCAATATGATACTCAAAATATCACAAACCCAATATGATACTCAAAATATCACAAAACCTAATATGATACTCAAAATATCACAAAACCCAATATGATACTCAAAATATCACAAAACCCAATATGATACTCAAAATATCACAAAGCCAGTATGATACTCAAAATATGATACACAAAATATCCAAGGAGCTGCTAGACAATGATACTCAAAATATCACAAAACCCAAGGACACTCACAGGTAGATATGATACTCAAAATATCACAAAACCTAATATGATACTCAAAATATCACAAAAGCTTCAAACCCAATATGATACTCAAAATTTCACAAAACCTAATCAGGTGAGACAGAGAAATATGACAAACCAATATGTCACAAAAACATGATATGATACTCAAAATATCACAAAGCCCAGTATGATACTCAAAATGTCACAAAACCCAAAGTGATACCCATCATACAAGTCTGTAATCTTATGTTTTTCAAGGAGCTGCTAGACAAGGCCATGTTTCGGAAGGATGAACTAAAACAACAAGTAGCAGAACTGCAACGCGAGCTGAAGGAATCCAAGGACACTCACAGGTTCTTGTCCAGATTTATGTTGCTTAGCCCATTTTATGTTTCTTGATGTGTATATCCTTGTTTATGCATCTGTGGCTTAGGTGTTGCGAACAAGCTTCATAATGCCAGGGTGCCGGGTTTGATCCCAGCTGCGGACGATTAGTCTTGCATTGATTTCTACAATGGATTCTGGTGATCAGGTAAGACAGAGAAACAGGTGAGAGAAGAATATTGAACTTAACATGGATTCTGGTGATCAGGTGAGACAGAGAAACAGGTGAGACAAGAAAATTGAACTGATCATGGATTCTGGTGATCGGGTGAGACAGAGAAACAGGTGAGACAAGAATATTGAACTGATCTTGGTTTCTGGTGATCATGTGAGACAGAGAAACAGGTGAGACAAGAATATTGAACTGATCGTGGATTCTGGTGATTGTGTGAGACAGAGAAACAGGTGAGACAAGAATATTGAACTGATCATGGATTCTGGTGATCAGGTGAGACAGAAAAACAGGTGAGACAAGAATATTGAACTGATCATGGATTCTGGTGATCAGGTGAGACAGAGAAACAGGTGAGACAAGAATTTTGAACTGATCATGGATTCTGGTGATCAGTTAAGACAGAGAAACAGGTGAGACAAGAATATTGAACTGATCATGGATTCTGGTAATCAGGTGAGACAGAGAAACAGGTGAGACAAGAATGTTGAACTGATCATGGATTCTGGTGATCAGGTGAGACAGAGAAACAGGTGAGACAAGAATATTGAACTGATCATGGATTCTGGTAATAAGGTGAGACAGAGAAACAGGTAAGACAAGAATATTGAACTGATCGTGAATTCTGGTGATCAGGTGAGACAGAGAAACAGGTGAGACAAGAACATTGAACTGATCATGGATTCTGGTGATCATGTGAGACAGAGAAACAGGTGAGACAAGAATATTGAACTGATCATGGATTCTGGTGATCAGGTGAGACAGAGAAACAGGTGAGACAAGAACATTGAACTGATCATGGATTCTGGTGATCAGGTGAGACAGAGAAACAGGTGAGACAAGAACATTGAACTGATCATGGATTCTGGTGATCATGTGAGACAGAGAAACAGGTGAGACAAGAATATTGAACTGATCATGGATTTTGGTGATCAGGTGAGACAGAGAAACAGGTAAGACAAGAATATTGAACTGATCATGGATTCTGGTGATCATGTGAGACAGAGAAACAGGTGAGACAATAATATTGAACTGATCATGGATTCTGGTGATCAGGTGAGACAGAGAAACAGGTGAGACAAGAACATTGAACTGATCATGGATTCTGGTGATCAGGTGAGACAGAGAAACAGGTGAGACAAGAACATTGAACTGATCTGGGATTCTGGTGAAGCTTTACAGCAACAATTATTAGCATGGCACATGATAATTCTCCTTTGTACGTCCTTTGTTGTTGGAAGTATGTTACATATAGTAACACACTTTGAAATTACATGTCATTGCATCTGCCTGTGTTTGCTTGTGGCATGCATTTTTCTGTTTAAAAAGTTATTGTGTCCATTCGGGTTCCAGGCTCCCATTTTGGGGAGGGGGCCGGGGTGGGGGGGGGGGGGGGCGGAATAGACCTACTACAGTTCTTGACAGGCAACTGTTGCCATGGGATCTGGCCGACGCTCAACACTCAATGGAAAGGCGAGACGGATATACAATCAGACAGTTACTGGTGTTGTCGGAATTGGAACTCTTCACTTGCTGCTGAAGATGGGGCCGGAGCACTTATGGAAGTGCCCCAAGTGCTGTAATGTCAATTCTAAATTCAACAGGCAATTAATTAGTAGTTTGTTGAAGTCGGAGGTGTTTGGCCCAAACGTTCAGATACCCCTGTCTGAATGTGAACTAAGGTGCAGCCTGCCACCACCAATTTGCCCATAATTATTTTTTTTTAAATATAAGTGGGTCATGAACCCCTCTTAATTTCTTGAAAAAAAAATCTGTTTAAAAAAAAATCATAATACACAGGTAGGTCACTTTATATATTTTTGAATTTTTTTTTCAGTACATGTTAATGTTGCATATCCTTTCCAGGACATTGCAGAACCACACCCCAGCATTTGTTAGCTGATATGGTTTTTCTAGGCATATTTTACGTTCATTTCTTTTTGAATGGTCAACTCTCGGTGCCACAATCGAAACCAATGCAAGACAAACCGCCCGCAGCTGGAATCGAACCCAGCATGAGGCCATTACGAAGCTCATTCGCAACGCCTAACCCACAGACGCCGATACACGCTTTAAAAAGATATGCTGTTGGTCATGTTATATGTTGACAATGTGCACATTATATGTGGCTGTGTGTATTTCTCGTTGTTCATATTTTATTTTTCTTATGTCTTCAGCTCCCTCAGCACAAGGTGGAAGGAGAAATCCGAGCTGATCGGCCGCCTGGAGCAGCAGGTGATGCAGATGAAGAACAGCTGGACCCAGAAGGAGGTTCAGCTGATTGCTGAGAGAGACACTGCACTGAAACAAGCCAAGTAGGTTCCCTGTAGATTTATGTTTCCCATACAAAAAAAGAGTGTCTGCTTGTTAAACTGGTTAAACATGCACTGGGTTTTCTTGCAGGAGACCTGGGTTTTTCTTCTTCTTTGTTTGTTCACTGGCTGTAAGCTCTGGCGGAAAGTCCTGGCTGTTCATCCATTTGGACTTTGGCTTCGTACCAGGGCCTGAGTTTTGCATGTACCTCTGTTTTTGTGGTTTATTTGTGTGTCAGTTCATTGTTGCTTGCCTCTTAACTCCTCGAGTCCCAAGGAACGCATCATACATTCATAGATTCCTACCTAGAGGCCCAATGAACGCATGATGTGCTGATTTTACGTTTCTCTTGACTACATCTTGGGCCTGTGATGCTAAACCCCCTGGGACTCAAAGAGTTAAGAGTGTAATGTTGGTTCGCCCACTTTGAGTGTTATGTTAGTTCACCCACTTTGAGTGTTATGTTGGTTCATCCACTTTTAGTGTTATGATGGTTCTCCCACTTTAAGTGTTATGTTGATTCCCCCCACTTATAGTGTTATGTTGATTCACCCACTTTGAGTGTTATGTTGGTTCCCCTACTTCGAGTGTTATGTTGGTTTCCCCACTTAAAGTTTTATGTTGGTTCCCCACTAAGAGTGTTATGTTGGTTCCCCCACTTCGAGTGTTATGTTGGTTCCCCCACTTACAGTTTTATGTTGGTTCCCCCACTTAAAGTTTTATGTTGGTTCCCCCACTTCGTGTGTTATGTTGGTTCCCCCACTTAGATAGTTTTGTTGGTTCCCCCACAAGAGTTATTTATTGGTTCCCCCACTTTAGAGTGTTATGTTTTAAAGCAGGGCGAGCAAAGAGATCATGCTGCGTGGGCAACACATGGCCTCTAAAATACTGTCTCTTCTTTGCGTTGTGGAGAGAAGCAACTTCATATCTGGCTTTCTTTGGTACTGCCGTTTGCTGGTGATTCCTATGCCTCTGTCAAGGTGTGAGTGAACACATGGTATGTTCTAACAGTATGTATGTAGAAATCACCTGGGTGTAGCCTGTGTCAGCTCGTCTTGTTTCTCCAACCCCCTGAGCTTGTAAGTTATCAACTTTTATGTGTGCGTCCTGGAGTTCCATTGAGGAGAAAGCAAGAACAGACCCACTGACTTCCCAAAAGCATGTGGTAGAAGTCGACTAATTGGGAGACTTCCTTCAAAGCCAGATTGCTTCTGCCTGAGAGGCAAGAAACCAACAGTCTGCATTCACATGAGTCAGATCGGATATGCACACAAGACTCAGGTTCTGGAACAGGACTCGAATCCAGAAATGGACGAACAACCAGAGTTTTCTGCCAGAGTTTAAAGCCAGCGAACACGGTGAAAAAGAACAGTGGCAACAGCTACTGTCTGTTGTAATGTTATTTGGATCATCAAACATAAGCTTGAATTTATATTTGTTTGGCTTTCACAATAATTAAAAAAAAAATAATAACATGATAGTTTCCTTATGAAAACTAATAGGAAAGTACCTAAGGTAGGAGAGATGAGAACGACGTTCTGCACAGGACATGCTACATGATGATGATGATGTTTTATAATATTGTTTCTAGACAAGCCATTGAGCAGCTCAAGGCGGCAGACACTGCCTTCCGACAGCAGCTGGAGATGAAGGAGGCCTCTCTTCAGGAAAAGATAACTCAGTTAGATTTTGAGAAGCAACAGGAAGTGGAATTGGCCAATAAAAAGGCAAGTAGTATTTTACTGATGTCCAAGTGTGGGCCTTTAAGTAACTTTAATCTTTTAGTAACATTAACATATCAAGCAGAAAACAAGACAAACTAATTGCAGATTCAAGGACCAACATTGGCTAACTTTCCAAGGAAGCAGAACTGGTCTTGCAGTGGATACCAGCCCACTGTGGTATTTAAGGAAATGAGAGAGCAGATGAGCTGGCAAAAGCTGGGAGTAATCTTCCACAACCTCATCCACCACACAGCTACAAGGAAACCAAAACAGCGCTAAAGCATTCTTTCAAGCGGGAGTGGAGAAGGCAGTATGGAGATTACAGACCAGAAAGTGACAGCATAAACAAACTCAACAGGAAAAAAAAACACAAATTTTTAGACTTCGGACAGGACACTGTGGTCTTCGAGCACACCTGTACAGGATAGGCATAAAAGAATCTGCTGCCTGTGATTGTGGAGCAGAAAGACAGACCCCTGAGTACATACTGCAGCACTGCCCTTACCTCTCCCAGCAAAGACTGTGGATCTGGCCCAAGAGAGCTACATTGCAAAAGAAGCTATGGAGGGACCGATGGCGACCTTAAACGCACAGTCCTATTTGTGACCCAACTTCTAAACTTCTTTTGTCTAAACTCATTCAGTACATCCTCTCTTTAACTTTTTGCTTTCTCATTTTCTGTCTTCTTTGTGTTCGGTTTTGTATGCTCAGGTCAGACCGTCAGATGGGTTGCCTGTATGAACTCTTGCATGTCAGCTGCAGGTCTTTCATGGTTCCTCATAGCTTGCTCTGCACACTTTGCTCTTGAGGCCGGGGTTCTTTTCTTTTTGTTATAGGTACAGTGGGCAGGTCTGCAGAATGTGCTCAGGTGTTTGTGGTCCCGTCTGACAAGCACACTGTGGTGACTACAATTGTTTTTTTTTCTTTGCATGTGGTAGTTGCGCCTGCGGTGTCCTGATCGTAGACGGAAAATTGCTGTATGTTGCTTTCTGTTGAGTCTGCTGATGGGGACTTGTGGATGTTTACTGTTAGTTTGTTCTCTCCACAATTCCTTGTAGCATTCAAGAGAGTAGTTCACTTTTTATGTGAATTATTACATTCTGTCTGTGTCCTCTTCATGGCACTACTGACACAAAAGGCATTCCGTCTGTGTCCTCTTCTCATCACTACTGACACAAAAGGCATTTTGTCTGAGTCCTCTTCTCATCACTACTGACACAAAAGGCATTCTGTCTGTGTCCTCTTCTCATCACTACTGACACAAAAGGCATTCTGTCTGTGTCCTCTTCTCATCTCTACTGACACAAAACATTCTGTCTGTGTCCTCTTCTCATCTCTACTGACACAAAAGGCATTCCGTCTGTGTCTTCTCATCACTACTGACACAAAACATTCTGTCTGTGTCCTCTTCTCATCACTACTGACACAAAACATTCTGTCTGTGTCCTCTTCTCATCTCTACTGACACAAAAGGCATTCACAAGTCATCTCCATTGTTGCAGCTTTCTGCCTGTGTTATCCAGTTTTATTTTATATACATTCCTTCATTTCCCCCTTCCTGCTGTCCTTCTCCGAGTTACCTTAGGTCAGGACTTTTCAACCAGACTTTTGAAAATGCTGTTCGTCACAGGCCAGAGACACAAGCCCCAGAATAGAAAGATCACATTAATTCAGTACAACTGGCAATGATCTGCAGGCCACATTTAGGCTGCCAGTTGAATATAGCCCTGCCTTATGATGTCCATGTCTCTCTTCTTCTCTCTGCCCTTCATAGGAAAGCTGTCCTTGCCAAAGTGTCATGAAGCATTCTGCAGACATGTCCAAACCCTCTCCATCTTCTTCCTTTGATAACATTTACCAGTGATGAACATTTTGTTTTCCTCCTCATTCTTCATTTGGAGTCTTGTTTGGTCTAAATATTTGCAGGATTCTCCTTGGACATTTATTTTGGACAGTCTCAAGTTTGTGATTCCTTCTGTCAGTTTCCAACACCCACAGTTACTTAGTTACTCGATCCTCTTCTGCTGTGGGATATAGAGGTTTGTCAGATAAATCATCAGACTTGTCTGTCTACAGTTTTCTTTTAGCTTTGTTCCATTCCATTCCTCTGTCAGTCAGGGACTGTCAGATGCTGTCAGTCAGGGGCTGTCAGATGCTGTCAGTCAGGAATAGCAGGACGTTGTCTTTCAGTGAGCCCTTACACTCACTGTTATTTAATAGTGTTTCAAAAATACAGCTCTTGTACACTCTGCGTTTTGTCTTTGACTAAGCTTCTTTGACTTCCATAAATTGTTAAGCATGGCAAATGCCTTGTTTGCTTTATTCAGTCTTGCCTTTATATTCTTGTCTAAATCCCCATCTGTAGTAACCATAATCTGAGGTATATAAATTGTTCAACTCCTATTGCTTCATCATTTAAGATTGATGGATTTTCCGTTTTATGATTATTTCTATATTCTCACAGGAGGCTGAAAAGAGACACACAGAATGTCTCTCCCTCCTTCACACACACACACATTACTGACACACAGAACATCAGGTGCTTTATTAATATCCTACCCCAAACATGCAAAATCCACAGGTAACGGGACAGTCTAATATTTCAGGGGGTGGTAGATAGGCTGCATGCAGTTGTAGGACCTAGGCTGCACTCTCTCATGGGACGTAGGTTGGTTGGGGTTAGGGCCAGTTCTAGATGTTTTGGGGTTGTTGAAAGCATCAGAAAGTCAGGAAACCCAGTCTTACCTCCCTCTAAAATGTCGGACTGTCCTGTGATGTCATCTGGGGTAGGATATTAATAAAGAACCGAACATCACTTACACACATTAAACACACAAATTATTTGATGAAAACACATAGAACATCACTGGTGTCTTGTCTCATTCACACACATTACTTGAGTGGGGGAAAACTGAACCTGACACCACTTCTCTCTGTCATTCAGACACAGACAAACACACACTTGTTACTTCAGTAAAAAAACTAACACAAACAACAAAATTTCCCTCTATCCTTCCCCCCAACAGGTATCCATTGTAGAAGACGAGATGCGTGATCTGCTCCAAGAAACAGAAGCCAACAAGCGAGCCATGGAAACCAAGTTAAAGAAACTCACCCAGGCACTGGGGGACCTGCAGAGCAATTTAATATAGTGTCATTTCTGTTTCTAGTTCTAACTGACCTTTTTTCCCCACCAGTTTGGTGATCAAGTTAAGATTCCTTTTCTTCTTCTGTTAAAAAGTTGAAGGGTAATTTAAGAGGATCAACTTTATTGCACCGGGTTTTATCCCGTACTGCGCTGTCTCCCTCTGCAGAACAGCTAGCCACCTGCCGAGAGCATTGCAAAAAGCACAAACTCGGTAGCTCCAGCAAGAATCCCCAGGGATCTCCATAAATATTGCACTTGTGAACTGAATGAGGCAGCCGTGAAATTCTTCTTCTTCTTCTTCTTCTTGTGTTCGCTTTCTGATTTACACCGACAGACAGGTTCTTTTGATAAACTTGACTGTTTTAATGAGTTCATTTTTAGTCCCATACAACTTTGTGTACAGTGGTGACTCACTGGGCCAGTATTCCTTTCTTAATGGGCTGAACAAGGGACAGTCTTGCAGGACATGTTCTGTAGTCTGCACACATAGCCCACAAGGGCAAAAAGGTGAACTACTTAGACGAAGCCTGTGCATATGCTGGTTAAGTTTGTTATGTCCTGTCCTGAGACGTAGGACAATGACCTGCCCATGCCGGTCAAGTAAGTGGTAGTCATCTCTGGCCAGACTCTGTTCACTTCTGATAGCCTGGATGGCCCTTTTCTTCTCATAGTATGTTACTGCATTCTCTTCTTGGTCACATTCTGCCCCTTTTTTAGCAAGTTTATCTGCGGTTTCGTTTCCTGGTATACCACAGTGGGATGGCACCCACTGGAGTACAGTACACTTTTGGGCAGCCACCTTGCCAAGTTTAGATCTCAAGTGAGGGAGTTTGCCACTCTTGAGGGCTTGAAGCACTGAAAGCGCATCTGTGAATATAACCACTTGGTGGCAGTCAGAACTGGTGTTGTGTAACATTTCGGCAGCCTGCTCTAGTGCTACAATCTCTGCTGTGTAGTTGGAACAGAATTTACCAGTGGGTATCCACTTTGTGTGGCGGTGGTTGCCTGGGTATGTAATAAAGACTCCAGCACCCCCATTTTTAACCGCGCTGGTTGCTGATCCATCTGTGTAAATATGTATCCATGACTGTTCGGGATAGTTTTCATGAATCATGCTAAGAGCAGCTGTTCGTTTTTGAAGATCATTGGACTCATCTCCAGTTGTGAATCCATTGACTGAAGTCATTATCTGTATTGTATCACTGACTTGCTCCCAAGGTACAGGGTATAGGGTAGGTTTCAGCGGTGTTGTTCTAATAGGTAGATCAGCTTGGTACTGTCTTCTAAGTCTTTTCCCCCGATGGACAAAGCTGCTACGTTTGAGACGCCCTAATGCCAGATCATCTAACCTTTTATTCATTGGGTGTGACTGCATACTATTAAACTTCTCCATCTGGATCATAGTTTTAGTGTCTCTTCTATAGGACAATGTCTGCATTGCAGTTATTTTCTGCATCTTCAGGATTGGTGCAGTTTTCATGGATCCTGTGATGAGTCTAAGAGCTTGATTTTGCACTCTGTCTAACGATTGTAGGTGGGAATTAGCAGCTGTTGACCATGCTGTTGCACCAAACTCCAAGTGGGGTCTTATCGCTCCATTATAAACTTTCTTTAGGGTTTTTCCATTTGCTCCCCATCCTGTACCTGCCAATTTTCTAAGTAGGCCTAGTCGTCTCCTGGCCTTCCCTTCTACATTTTCTATGTTTGCTCCATGTGAGCCTTTTATCGAATGTTACTCCAAGATAAGTGGGGAAGCTTTCTTCCTTTAGCAAGGATGTTCCTAGGTGAATACTAGCAGCTTTGTCCCTGGTGGAAAGAGAGAAAAGCGTTGTGGATGTTTTGTCTGTGTTGATGGCAACATGCCATTTTTCTGCCCATGTCATCAAGAGATCTGCTGCTCGCTGCATTCTTATATTTGCCACTGTGGTGTGTTCATCGGTACACCAGAGTGCCAGATCATCTGCATACAGGGCAGCTTTTACTCCTGTAGGGAGGTCTTTCACCAGATCATTTATATACACAAGAAAGAGAGTTGGAGAGATAACTCCTCCCTGTGGTACTCCTTGCCGAAGTAACACTTTTCTACTCTGCTGGCCATCAAGACTGACTCTAGTTCTTCTGCTGTGTAAGAAGGATTGGATCCATTTTAGCATGTTTCCTTGGATTCCATTTCTCTTCAGTTTTGCAATGAGACCATCTTTCCAGACTTTGTCAAAAGCTTGTTTGAAGTCAACCCATACCGCCAGGACCTTTTTCTTCTCTTGGAAGGCATCCTCTACAGCTTGTGACAGGTAGGTGACTTGATCTTCTATGCTGTGACATTCCCTAAACCCAGCCTGCTCTGGCACCAAGATCTGCTCAGATTCTAAGTGCCATTTCAGTCTTGAATTTACAATTCTTTCCATTGTCTTTCCTACACAGCTTGTGAGACTAATTGGGCGATAGCTCGAAGCCTGTGTCTTAATTTTTCCTTTTTTTAAAATGGGTATTGTGATGGCTTCTCTCCATACTTGAGGCACTAAACCTTTCTCCCAGCTGATGTTGAAAATTTCCAGCAGCTTTACTTTAGCAGATGAGGTCAGGTTGATTAGCATTTCGTTGCTGATTTCATCCGGACCTGCAGACTTTTTTAACTTAAGCCTAAAGATGGCATTTTGTAGTTCACCCATGGTAAATGGCTCCCTCATAGAGGCAGGAGTATCTGTCTGTCTCTTATTTGTTTGTTTGCTTGTTTGTATTTCTTTCCTTATTTCTCTCTGATGGTCCTCATTAAGGGTCAGGTTGCTTTCAACACTGAATGTTTTGGCAAACAAATCTGCAGCTTGTTTTCCTCTGAAGATTTTGTCACCATCACTGAGCGTGATTGTTTGTCTAGGCGAGAAACTCTCTTCATTGAGTGATTTGGCTAATCTCCAGAGTTTCTTGCCATCTTTATCAAGGTTTAGAGCTGCTGTTTTATTTCTCCAGCTTTTCCGTTTTTCTTCAAGTTTAGTTCTCTGGAACACTGCTACAGCCTTTTTCCATTTGATGTGGTTGTCAGGTGAAGGTTGGGATTCTGCATCCTTTCTAGCCTGATTCATTGTTTCCTGGCATTCCTGGAGTGTGCTGGACCAGTACGGTCTATAGTTGTGTCGACAGCCTCTGGGGATTGCTTCTTTTGCAGCTTGTAGAATACTTCTATTGAAATCGTGCACTATAGCATTGATATCCCTATTTTGTACCTTGAGAGCAGACAACAATGTGCTTGTCCTGTGTCTGTACAGGCCCCAGTTGGCTTTCTTGTAGTTCCATCTTGTGATGACTGGGCCTGTATTAACTGGTACATTCTGGATAGTGAGAAAAATCGGGCGATGGTCACTGCCCCCAAGCTGGTCTCCCACCTCTCTACTTATCATTCCAGATATATCTGGGGGTAGAGAAGGCAAGATCTGGGGTCGACGTTGTCTGCCACCTTCTGGAGTAGAAGGTAGGCGTATCTGAGGGGGCATTTTATCAGGATCAGAGAGTGGTCATCTTGCCATGTTTCCACCTCTTCACCCCTATATGTCGAGATGGTTATAGCCCCAGCTCTGTGAATGACTGTTGAAGTCTCCAACTGCAATAAAGTTGGTGTTTGGTACTGTCACAGAGCTGAGGTTTAGCGATTTGTCATTGGGACAGTAGTAATTAAGGAGTTCTAATTCCACTTTGTCTGTCTTAAGCTGCAGGAGTTGGTACTCAGCTCCATCCATATAAGACATTTTCTCGCATGGATGGATACTGTTTTTCACAAGGGTGAGTACTCCTCCTTTTCGCCTGCCTTGTCTGTCAGATCTGAAGCACTGGTAGCCTCTCACTTTAAATATCTGATCTGCCTGCAAATGGGTCTCTTGGATGCAGCATACACTGACATGCTTTTCATAGAGGATGTTTTCCAGCTCCAACTTTTTGCTGTAGCCAGCCTGCTTACTGCTGACCCCCTCTGCATTCCAGTGCATAATGACAAAAGGCAATTTGGGATCTTTTCTGTCTAACTGGTTTTGGTCAGTAGCTATCCTCCGCCGTCTCCTGACTCCACAAGACGGTCTAGGAGGTCTCCAGTAGCTGGGGGTGGATTCTGTCGAGGCTCAAGAACCCGGCACTGCACCTGCCTGGTGGAGTTCCACAGGGCGAGCACCAACATTAAATTTGTCTGACGGTGTAAACATATATATAGCGTGGGGTTGCGTAGTACTGTGGTTTTTGATCCGCCTTCTGGCCCAGTATTTCCGACTTCAGGATCTCTTGGGAGGGAGAGTAGGCTCATCCCTTCGCCTTTACCTCGTTTGTTGTCCCATCCAGTTTCCCGCTGGGGGTTAAGACCCCAACCTTCAACTGGATTGCTGGGAAGAACAGGGTCCACCACGTGAAGGTGAGGTAGGCTTGAGCAAGAGAGGCTAATAGACATTAAGAGTCTTGAATTGCGCATCATTGCTCCATTTGGACCCCAGCCGTGAAATGAACCCACACCCATCACAGCGTGAGGCGAAAGGCTTGACCACTTCGCCACGGTGACCCCTTTTCTTTTTTCTGTGTTCACCCTTAGCCTAACCCTTTCACCCCATAAAAATCTTACCACCCCCCCCCCCCCCCCCCTTTTCCCCCAAAGGAAAGAAAATAAACTTTAATTTGCTTCAACTCTGCACCAAGAAACTTCTTTTTTTTTTGGGTCATCTCACCAGGTTGTAGCCCAGTGTCGTAGTTTCCTGTATTTGTCTTGCACTTCTCGGTAGCTTGAATGAGGAACTTTTTCATCTTTTTGCAGGTTTCAGCTACACCCTTCAAAACTGACCTTGGCTCCCGGGTCGACCCAGTTTAAAAAAGTGTGCCAGATAATGTTGTGAGAAGTAAACATGACCTTAGTGATGTTGATCGCATCACTGACCAATAGTTGATTGGTCTGTACAAATCTGGGTCTACCATCATACACCTGATGTGAAACTGGCGTTTAAAAAAAAAGTCCTTTAATATTTAACTGAGCTGGGT